CTTCGGCAAAGCCTCATCCGGGTTCCTCTCTGCCAAAGCAGAGAGTTCGACAGAGGTCAAGATTGTATCGCGACATATCTCAGTATTTAATATTCCGCCCACGAGGAATATATGTGGCACAAGGCCGAGTTTAAAGCGGGTTTCTCCGAGCCCGTATTCCCGGCCCCAAAATATACCCTTTGAACCCGCCTAGACGGGTTCAGGGACTGTCTACCTCCCCGGACGAAACCCTGCCCTTCGGCAAAGCTACATCCGGGTTCTTCTCTGCCAAAGCAGAGAGTTCGACAGACTGTATCTCGACGTTTCTCAACAGCAGATATTCTCTCAGTCATTATAAGTATACTTTGGGCGAGTACATCTTGTGTAAAAAGGGGAGAGCCCCACAACAGTAATCAAGGAAACAGTAAATAGCGATTGACATTGCACTTAAAATTTTGTAGATTAAAATTAACAGGAAAGCATGAAGCCGGAAGGGAGTTCCACAAGCGGGAAGCGCGAGAAAAGAAGTATAGAATTTACGGTTACCTCTTGCCAGCTCAAATGTAAATTGGTGAGACCTCATCGCCAATCTAGTACTGCGCTTAAATTCGAAGTGTCTAGGCACCATAAAGAAGATCTCATCCGAAGAATCACCTTGAAAGTATTTAAAGAAAAGGCAGAGAGAGGCAACCTGAATGTAAATTTACCAAAGGAGACTCAGAAATTACTGCGCTTTCAATAAATGTTCTCCTTAATAAAATACTTTATTTCTTTTTTCAAAGAAGACCGCATTCTTTAAGTTGAAGTTTATGGTCAGACTCATTACGTTAAACGGCAAGTGAATCTTGTTTTCGTAAAAGAACCCTTTTTGAGTCGATAAATACTTTTATTTAAATTCCTCGAAGCTAAATCAACATATTCCTAGTGACATTTATTAGCGTCTGCAACTATTTCAAAACAATAACAGATTTAATTAATACGAAACAAAATAATAGCAATTTTAAACCTGAAGTAATAATGTACCCTATAGACTGTAATAATAGTCACAAAAATACATGGGTTAAACTTCCAGGAATGTAAATAACAGAATACATGAAAACAAGTCTTACAAGAGAGAAAGAAAGGTTATTCTGGGCATAAATCTACCGTAGAGGATTCTGAAATTAGAGCGCTTTCCTTTTCTAAATTACTTTCTCTTTGAAAAGCAACGATAAAAAAAAAGCTATAATAAACTAAATAGGATAGGTTCAGTGGTATCTCGATACACCGGACGTCTGAATTTTAATTTAAACTGAGTGACTCTGTATCATTAATCGCTTCGATATGAACTATAACCATCATATTTCTACTACTAGACTTTTAGCTTTATATATATATATATATATATATATATATATATATATATATATATATATATATATATATATAGTTAAACCTGAGAGTTAGACAAACCTACAAGGTTTCCACCTAAGCGATTGTCAGGTAGCCAGCCTTCCCTGACGATCCGCTTAGGTGAAACCTTGGTAGGCTTGTCTGGTTCTCTAGGTTTAACTAGGTCTGCTCTACACTGCGTGCCAAATTATTATCGAGATAACTTTTTTTCTAATATTTCAAAAACCGTCCAATCAATTCACTCAATTCATCACTGTGCTGATAACAAATATGGCGCCAGTTTGTTTACATTGCGAAAATTTCAGTGATTACGCAGGTCAGTGTTGCCAACATTGTGTGAAAATTTTGTGTGAATTGATTGGACGTTTTTTGAAATATTAGAAAAAAAGTTATCTCGATAATAATTTGACACGCAGTGTACTTACCGTATTGAGTACTTTATTTAGTTAGTTTTCTTACTCGTGTCGGTGTTTTTTTTTTCTTTGGACTCTGAACTCGTATGCTGGACGATTATTATCGGCTAACGTACATGTTCTTTGTTCTTTCTTTTTTATATACTCTTTTCCCCTTTGGTATTGGTTTGATTATTCTCAAATCAACACACCGAAGGTTTTCCGGACGAGTATAATTTCTTATACATAAGATTATTTCTACTAATATATATATATATATATATATATATATATATATATATATATATATATATAATAGGAGTAGGTAGTTTCGCCTGTCGAGTGGGCCACATACCTCCCCGTTATTTTGAACAGGGTTAGAGTTCTACTCCTTGTTTCCTTCGTCCTGGATAAGACATTAAACTACATCCGTGTCCTGGGTAAGACGATAAACTACGTCCAGCAGCAAGGCCTCTGATCAGAAGGTTTTGAGGAGCGTGGAACCACCTCTCCATTGCTGGTGTTCCCAGGTTCACCCTGATTCGATGTGGTAGCACCTGTTAGGGTCCCAGCTATGGGCCGATTATTAACTATTACCAGCAATACGTTTTTTGAAGCAAAATTATTACCAAAAACAGATTTTTCAGAAAAAATATTACTAACAATAAAAAATGTTGTCGGCATTAAATAATCCATTGAGGTTGAAATGCCGTAAAACAAAATAAACCAAACCAATCTAAACCAAAGAATACATATTCTATTCATATGAATCTTTTCTAAAAATGTTGTCGGCATTAAATAACCCATTGAGGTCGATATGCCGTAAAAAAAAATAAAGCAAACCAATTTAAACCAAAGAATATATATTCTATTCATACGAAACTATTCTAAAAATGTTGTCGGCATTAAATAACCCATTGAGGTTGATATGCCGTTAAACAAAATAAACCAAATCAATCTAAACCAAAGAATACATATTCTATTCATACGAATCTATCCTAAAAATGTTGTCGGCATTAAATAACCCATTGAGGTTGATATGCCGTAAAACAAACTAAATCAAACTAAAGAATACATATTCTATTCATACGAATCTATTCTAAAAATGTTGTCGGCATTAAATAACCCATTGAGGTTGATATGCCGTTAAACAAAATAAACCAAACCAATCTAAACCAAAGAATACATATTCTATTCATATGGATCTATTCTAAAAATGTCAGCATTAAATAACCCAACGAGGTTGATAAGCCATTAAACAAAATAAACCAAACCAAACCTTGTTTCCTGTTCAGGTCTGGGTTTCCGGTTCCTTCTAAAGTTTACTTCAATTCTCTACTTCTAACATCACCGCTTGAACTCAGAAATTTTATTTACTGGTTATTTTTTCCTTCTCAATAGGTAGACTCACACCTTTCCCCGGTATTTTGAAAAGAAGTAGAGGTTTATCCCTTGTTTCCTGTTTAGGATTGGCTTTTCTGTTCCTTCTAAACTAGTTTTTTTCTTCCTCCTCAATAGGTGTAGATAGGTTCGCCTATCGTCCGGTTCACACTCCTCCCAGTCTTTTCTACAGGAGTAAAGGAGTATCTTTTGTTTCTTGTTTAGAATTGGGTTTCTGTTTCCTTGTAAAGTTTTTTTTTCACTCTCTTTCACCCCGCGTAGTCACTTGCGTCTTAGTCGCATTATCGCCTTGCTTTGGGGGGAATTGATTAAAAAAAATTAATTCCATCATTGAAACCATCGTTAGTCTGAAGAAGTTCCAAAGGCGTCACTAAGAAGTTTTGTTTTTTCTATTTTGTCATTTATTTAAAAAGAACGTCTCAAGTGAAATGGGTTCAACTGCAAAGATAATTTTTTTTCCCCCATGATTGTAAGTTTCCGTCCTGCAACAGAGAAAGACGGAAAACAAATGAAACGTAACGAGCAGAGTCATGGTCTCGTCATTTAAGGCAGATAGGAACTCGCTAAATTATATCAGATACTTGAGACCCTCTAGAACAGGGTTCCCCAACATGGGCGATATCGGCCACCGGCGGCCGATTTCAAGTGTTGGTTGGGTGATAAACAACTGAACAGAAAATGGTGAGCGACCGGAAATTTTGTGGTTGATATAGGATTTTAACTATTAAAAAGGTATTTCAACGAGAACACATTTAACAAAGATATGCAAAGAATCTCTAGGAAAACAAAAGAAAAAAAGGTAAGTCGAATAAATGGAAATAATTGGGTCACATTCCTAGATAAGATATAAATATCCCCGCAAAGGAAAAATATTTTGACATTTTCTATGGTCATGTTTACTTTCGTCTGTTCGTCCACACGGTAGTAACAGAAAAAGCCGCCTCATAATTCATTATTTGTTATCTCCCTTTAGTATTTTTTACTAAATCATAAATTCAGTTTACAAACCAGTAACAAACTTTTACCAAACAATCTTCTATGCTTTTGAATATTTAACCTACATCTAGGCGGTGGAAAATTTTCTCTGTGTGAAAGTGGGCGATGACGCAAAAATGTTGGGAACCCCTGCTCTAGAAAAAATGGTACTTCTTTATATTTTTGCAAAGCCCAAGAGCCACTCAAAGCAGAGTGTTAGTGAATAAGGTTTTAAGGTAAGAAGTGTTTCTTTTGGGGATATATATGATAGATAACAGATAATTCTTGGCTTAATCATTTTTGCGTGGTTACCAATGAAACGTGTAGTCCTGTGCCGATGGAATACATAACACTTTTGCTATTTGAGACATTTTGGTTGAACGATGTCTTGAGTTTATCCCAAATAGAGTTGTACTTCTTTGGTTCAATCATTTGTTCCTCGGGAAGGAGCTCATAGTAGATATGACCGTTCCAGTGCCACCATGTACGCAGAAGTATCTTTCTTGGGGAAAGGCTGTTGGACATGATTTATTTCGTGTGTCCTTACGATCTCGTCTGTTCGACGTTAGTGCAAAATATCCACATTTCTCTGAATTTTGTTTAAAAAAAATTTACTTTAAAGTAAATACTTTTCATTGCTCGTTTCAGTTTGCTTTAAAAATAATACGGTAAAGTCTACACTTTTCATCGTTCGTTGCACTTTCATTAAAAAAACGTTACTGTAATGTATAGACATTTTATCATCTCTTGCAATTTGTTCAAATAGTAAAGTATCCACTTTTCATCGCCCGTTAGATAGCAAGAAGTGGGTGTTCATTTTGAATTAACTTCATTTTAATAAATGTAGTTGTTCACTTTCTTATGCTCTTTTTCACGAATTGTGAAATTTAGCGAATTGTTATTAAGTAATTATATCACCGAGAATGGAAGAAAATAAGAAACATTTTCTATGTGTGACAATTTAATTCCCTGAATGGCCGCAGCGTGTCGTTTGGATAATCAGTCTCGAAAAACTTTCTTCTCAACGAGGTCCAGACATGTTTTAAATTATGCTGTCTTTAGAAGCAGCGGGTGAGATATTCGTCCCCAAGCAGTAGAGGAAGTTGTACGTGTTCATGTAAGACCTTTGTTGGAAAATGAGTGAAAGAAATCTGAAGCAGCAGATTAAATTCAAGATTTGTGCTAAGATTGGAATAAGTGCCGTATTCATAATCTATCTATCTATCTATCTATCTATCTATCTATCTATCTATCTAGTCTGAACTGTTCCTATGTATATATCATAGTCTTTTCATATTTCTCTCTCTCCCCCCCCTCTCTCTGTATCTATCTCTCTCTCTTTCTCTCATACACACACATTTTCATATTTCTGTCTCTGTCTCTGTCTTTGTCTCTCTCTCTCTCTCTCTCTCTCTCTCTCTCTCTCTATCTATCTATCTATCTATGTATCCCAGTCTGGTCTGTCCCTATCCATCATATACTTTTCATATTTCTTATTCGCTCTATCAAGGAATTTACCCGAAGAATCTCCCAAAGCAGGATGTGGCTCAAGGCTGATTTTCATGAGGGGTATTCCGAGTGCTCTCTCTTTCCCTCTCTCTCACTCACTCTCAATCTGTTAATATCTATTTATCTATCACAGACTTTTCATATTTCTCGTTCTCACAATATGTTCATATCTATCTCAGTCTGTTCTTATCTATCTATCTATCTATCTATCTATCTCGGTCTGTTCAGTATCATATCTGTCTCTATTCATATCTCTCTCTCTGTATCTCTCTCTCTCTCTCTCTCTCTCTATCTCTCTCTCTCTATCTATTTATCTATCTCAGTCTGTTACTATCTATCTATCTATCTATCTATCTATCTCGGTCTGTTCAGTATCTATCTATCTATCTATCTATCTATCTCAGTCAGTTACTGTCTATCTATCTATCTCGGTCTGTTCAGTATCATATCTGTCTCTATTTATATCTATCTATCTATCTATCTATCTATCTATCTATCTATCTATTTCAATCTGTTTTTATGTCAATCTGTTTATATTGATTTTTGTTCAAAGATCTCTTCTTAGTTGTCTGCTCTTATAACTGATTTTCAAATGGCGGATTTATATCTGCACCTACCAAACATGCCACCACATACGCAAATACACTAATGCACCATAGACACAAGCAGACACTCTTACACAGAATGGGAGAGACAGAAAACAAGTGCCATATTCCCTTTGGACCTGACAACACAAAATAAAACCGAATACTTTACCTTCTATTCTTACTTCGTAAAGTTCCTTGTAATCATAAAGAGTATTAAATTTTAGAACATTGTACCTAAGTACTGAAGCAGTGATTAGATATAGCAGTTCTGATCACGACAAGAACGAAATCTCCTTCATATTACAGTCTGCATTGTACGAATGTCCCCAGCCTGGGTCCCGGTCAGGCCTCCGACAAGATCACATGTAAGTAATGATAACGACATCCTCGTCAATCTTGTCTCTTGCTGCAAATTCCCGGTCGACCTGTGCAAAGAAATATATGCTGCAGCCGATACTGAAAATCCTTGCCGGCACGCCATAGCGGGTTCGAACCTAGGTTTAATCCATTTCTTGTTGAGGTCACTAAGACGCCGTTGAAGTTAGGTGGATTATAAATACTGGCAAGCGCCTTTCGCGTGACAGGCTGTTGGTTTGGAGATGTTTTTAGAGAGGGAAATTTTTCCCAGGAAAAAAAAAGAAAAAGGTAGCAACTGTAAAGGAAAGTTGAAGGAACAGGTGAGAGGAGAGGAAGACTCGGTCGAAGAGGGAGGAGGAGGTGCGCAAGTCGGTATGTATGTAGATACAATAATGAATTGATCGCTAGCTCGAAAGATGGACGCAGTTGTAAGATAAGTCGGAGAGATAAATAAGGGAAGTTCAGGAGAGAGATCGATTGGTCCGGGTTGGAATTGATCGATGGACAGACAGAGAGGAACGGGCTGGGGAATGGATATGCGGATTGGCTTTCAAAGACAGAAATGTTTAACAAAACTTAAAAACAAGGCTCATCGGCTAAGAATTAAAACAAAATAAATTATTAATAAGTATCTGCATACTTAGATTATCGTTGGAGGCACGCGTGACTGTGTATACATAAGTATGTACCCGATTAAGCAAGAGAGGGTTGAAAGGGATCAAATCAATTGCATGATTTAAGATATTAATAACAGATAATCTCCCCCCTCTCTCTCTGTCCCTCTCTCTCTCTCTACATATATATATATATATATAATTATTTTTTAAAACTATGATTCCGCCGCGACACAGAAATTACTGTTTTGAAACTTGACTCAAGTCCTAAAGATTAATTTCAATATTAAACTTAAAATTTAGAGTATAGTTCCATTCTAACATATCGCTTGAGAATGAAACTGCACTCTAAATTTTAGATTTAAATGTTTATTTATATATATATATATATATATATATATATATATATATATATATATATATATATATATTTGTTTGAATAAAAACAGACCACTTTAAGGTTCCATGTAATAAATTATTTCACCACAGCCCTTTTAAAGGGCTCTGGATCATCAGACTTTACTTCCAAAGGTTGAAATGAAAAATGAAAAAGAAATACATATATATATATATATATATATATATATATATATATATATATATATATATATATGATATAAATATAGTTTTGAGGTAGTGGTATATATGTATATATATTCAGTTTAAGAAAAACTAGGTAATCCGTATGGGTAAACCTAAGGAGGATAAAATCCAGAGAGCTCAATGTAAATCCAGAGCAAATAATTTAAATAAAAACAGATCACTTTAAAGTTCCATGTAATAAATTATTTCACCACATCCCTTTTAAAAAGGACTGCGGATCATCAGACTTTACTTCCAAACAAAAAATGAAAAGAAAATTTACACATTTTTGACGGGCCGTATTAAATAAATTAAATTAAAGAAGTGAGGAAGTGAAGGGGGAGAGAGAAGACATGAGTGAGTTAGCAGATATTGACACATTTAAACGGTTAACTTAACGGAAGTTATATATATATATATATATATATATATATATATATATATATATAACAAGTAACGTAAACACACACATATAAACGACAATGGGGAATCGTTTTATGCTAACGCGTTTCTTGCCTTGAGTAACTTTAACAAGGCAAATATAACAATTTTATTTACTAACCTTAACACTTAACATGAGGGAAAAAAAACAAGTTCAAGGTGTTTTTTTTTTTTTTTTTAAATGCTGAATTAGCGAACGCTCAAAAATATTCTAAAAACTTACTATTTAAAAGCAAGCTGAACTATGGGGGACCCTAGGTGACATATTTTTTCGGCCTCTTAGACAAAAGTGAGTTAATGTTGCTGGTTTTTGTGTGTATATGTTAAGATGCAAAATGCCTAGTTATGAATATGAATACAAAGCTCAATATTTCTAAACTGAATTTAATATACAGGGTGTTTCAAAAAATTTGAATATCCTTTGAGATGTAAATATCACAGAAAATACATGATTAAGGCAAATGAAATTAAAAAGTATTAATGTTGAAGATCATAAGATTTATTCTTCCAAATCTGAATGAGAAATTCAAAAGCATGTGGATTATGTGAACGATTTCACAAATGTGAAGTTTGTGGTCGTCCGGATCCTTTTGCTCTGTACAGACAGCCTTCCTCTTTGAACTTTTTATGCCATCTCCAAATCTGCATTCCTGTTGGTGACTTTCTAGAGAACTCTCTCATAAATGCACGCTGCACTTGTTTGACTGTGTTCTAGCAAACTCCAACACACAAAACGCCTTTTCTCTTCTAGTAAATAGCATTTTTATACCTGTAAAGAAAAAGATTAAAGATTAAAGAACATAAAAATACAAATAAGAAAAACACAAAAACATAAAGACAAAAACATAAAACAAACATTAAACATAAAGATGCTATTAAAATTTGAAGTCATTTGAAGGAGATCTAACAAAGTTATTAGATTGCGAAATGATATCAAATTTTCTGAAACACCCTGTATTATAATTTAAAATATAGCCATTAGATGATGTGTGCCTTTCCTGATCGATCTCCATTAAAATGACCGGTCTTATATCCACATCACCTTGAAACACTGCTTCCCGTGCGATCACCTAAGTTAAGCATCGTCGAGGCTGGTCAGTACCGAGATGGGTGATCGCTTAGGAATACTATGTGATGTAAGCATGTGCCGATGGCCTAATGGATAACGGCTCGGAATTGTGAATCTTTCGGTTCGTTATATTCCCTTACGCTCAAATACCCTTGGGAAAGGTATGAATCCACCTCTTCTCTCCCCAGCTATGGGTTAATTAGCAAAAATTGTGTCACTATACTATCAGTATCTAAAAAAATTCCTACATTCTAAAAATATTTTCTGTTAAGGGTCGATAAACCGTAAAAAACGAATCAATAAAACGTCCAGCAGGGGAATACCCGATAGCTCATAATATGGATCATTCGATAAGCGAAATATCTCTCACTTTTTCATTATTGTTGCTGAATTTATTTTAGTTTTTGTCTATATTTCTGAGATGAGGTATTATGTACATTATTTACATTATTCGGACTATTGTCCTCATCTTTGTCGCCAGATTTATTACAACGTTTCGACCGTTTTACGCTCCGGCCTTCTTCAGGTGGTTAGAATGTCGGACTGAACCCTTTATTTCGCTCACTGGGGTAGACTGTTCTAGTTCCACGTGCCATGTTTGATGGATGTCAGTTATCAGTTATCTCCTGTTAATTTCCCTCTGAAAGTTCTCCACTGCCTTAAGCGGGTATTGAACTCACACTCTTTGGGTTCTGTCACTGGATCTAACTAAAGCCATTATCCACTGTGCCATGTGTCCTTGAGGACATCTGTGTATGAATTTACCCAGAAATAATTATAGTTTTTTCTTTCTATTTTCAATTCTTATATTATTTTTTGTAACCATGTTTGTTCCTAGTGTTCCGATTATTATGGGTACAATTGTCATCTTCATAACTCTTCCCTTTTAGCTCTCTTTGGTTTTTTTATTCTATGTTCTGTTGGAAGAACTACATGATATAATTTATAGGTATTTTCGCTTTGATTAAGAGGCATCTTTATGGCCGATCTTTGAATCTTTTTACAATGGATTTTTGTCTTTGCTTAAGAGTGACTTTGCATTTGATTAAGACTGAACTTAATGATGTATCTTTGTCTTTGCTTACTCTAGATTTTGCCATCAATTACTCTAGTTATCTTTACTTACAATAGATTTCATCTGTGCTTAAAATGGATCTTTGCAATTGCTTAATATGGAGTTTTGCCTTTCAATACGATAGGCTTTTGCCTTTTTTTACTATGGATCTTTGCCTTACAATGATTTCATCTGTGCTTAAGATGGATCTTTGCTTTTGCTTCAGATGGCGCTTTCTCATTGCTTACAAATAATCGTTCTATTTGCTTATGATAGATCGTTGTATTTTCTTAGAATGGATCTTTTTATTTGTTTAAGATGGATCTTTGTCCTTTTCTTAGAATGGATCTTTCTATTTGCTTATGATGAATCTTTGTCCTTTTCTTAGAATGGATCTTTCTATTTGCTTATGATGAATCTTTGTCCTTTTCTTAGAATGGATCTTTCTATTTGCTTATGATGAATCTTTGTCCTTTTCTTAGAATAGATTTTTCTTTTTGCTTATGATGGATCTTTGTCTTTTCTTAGAATGGATCTTTTTATTTGGTTATGATGGACCTTTGTCCTTTTCTTAGAATGGATCTTTCTATTTGCTTATGATGGATCTTGGAATGGATCTTTGTCACTGCTTTGTTTATGACGGATGTTTCTCTTGCTTAAGATATAACTTTTCATTTACTTACGTTTGACCGCTGTTTTTGTTTATGATGAATCTTTGCCTTTGCTTAAGATAAAGTTTTGCTTTTACTGACGACCAACCGCTATTTTTGCTAACGATGTGTTTTTGTTTTTGTTTCCAATGGATCTTTGCCGTTGCTTTCAAGGAATGAGTTTTTATTTTTGCTTATAGTGGCTTTATTTTTTGCTTTTAGGTTTGTCGTGATGCGGCGTTTGTAAAACTCGCTAAAACAATATTAGTCTTTTTATGAAAAATATACGAATGAGCTTAATTTGTTTATCACGACGCTAGAACCACACTCATTTGCACTGTTACTCGTGTACAACTGAGCTTATCTGCGCCCGACATTCCTTTTAGGTGACCTTTTGTTATACACTGATTTACAGCCCTGTTCTCTTTTGGATGACGCAATTGGGTCGAAATAACTATGATAGACAGGATTGAACGGAGAGGAATTCCACTCCGCCATCAGCGAAGAGTGAAAACGGTCGATGTCCTGTCAAGGCAAGGAACGAGGGGGGCTCGTGATTTGATAGTGGCAACTACCACGAATGAAAATAGGAAGAAAAAAAAGAACGGATTTAATATAAGGAATGGTCGCTCTGAATGGAAAAGACGAACAAGATTCAACAACGAATTCTCAAGATTTTTTTTTCAGTGACTGGCGTATGTTAACCATTACAATTAGAAAAAAAAAAAAGAAAGTCTATAAAAAAAAAGGGCAAAAATACATGAGTAGGCATTTCGGTCACGTATCTGCATCCCGTTAAAGAAATAAGACTCCACGCTTTCCGTCTCTCCCACAAGCGTACAGTGGAAAGTAAAGATGAGAACCTAAGCACCCCGTAGCCTGTCTGACTAGCGCGAACCATCCCCAACCTAACCCTGGAGGCAGCAACAAGTGCTTGTGTTACGACGATGGTTTCGAGCAGAACTTGGGTCATTTCTGGAATGTTCCTTGTCTGGTGCCAATTCCATCCTGTTGATAAAGACTGAGACGGAATTGGAACACAAGCTGTTATATATATATGTATATATATACACGCGTATTATATTTATTTCCTTATCCAGACGTATAATTCATAAATATTCAATTCTTCTCGATCTTTCTAAACACTGATATATCAAGGAGATTTATATAGACAGACAGACAGACAGACAGATAGATAGATAGATAGATAGATAGATACGGACAGACTAAAATAGATAGATAGATAGATTGAAATCGATCGATCTATCAACAGATATGAAAAGGCTGATTTATAAAAAGATTGATTGATTTGGTATATATTTAACATTCAGAGGTACAGTGAAGACCATATATATATATATATATATATATATATATATATATATATGTGTATATATATAATTATTTATTTAAAATTATAACATAAATATGTTATAAAATCACAACAAAAAAGCCATTTTGTTTCAACACCTCTGTTGAATGTAAATTGTAGAATAAAGTTTTTAAAAGGTTCAAATTAATTAACGACCTCTCGTAAGGGGAAAGGCTGTAACATAAGCTGTATACTTGTATTTTGATTAGTCATTTCAACTCATGTTTCCCCTTACGAGGGGTGGTTAATTAATTTGAACCTTTTAAAACCTTTATTCTACAATTTACATTCAACATCATCACTTGATAAGACACCAGAGGTGTTGAAACAAAATGGCTATTTTTGTAGTGATTTTATAACATATTTAGGTTATAATTTTTAAATAAATAATTATATTCGCTCTACCCCGTATTGAGCACTCTTTTAAGAATAGTAATTGTTGGTTATTGGAATTTATTCCGTATACACCAATCATATACTTGTATATATATATATATATATATATATATATATATATATATATAAAAAAGTTAGTGGTCAGAGTTGAATTTTACCAGGAAACAGTAATATTAAAAAGTGCTCAATACACGTATTAAAAAAAAAGAAATAAAATTTTAATATGTACAGCTTTTAAATTTAAAAAAAATTAAAAGATCACTCGATTCCGTTATCTTGGCGTCAATCTTTCGGTATTTTGAGGCGATTTCGGTTAATTGATTTCCTAACGCTTTATTTAAAAAAAAAAGATGAACGCTACAATAAATATTTAAGAATAAACAAATAAGCGTACGGCATGAGGTGTGATGGAAGGGCAGGAGAAGAAAAAATAAGGGTATTGGAAATATATCGGCTGGGGGTTAAATGAAATGTACATAATTTCTTTTTATCCTGGTTCATATGAACTAATTCAGTTATGTGCCATGCGTGATACATTACAGATTTTATTCCCACAGTAGGTTGCCATTTCTTTCTGCGGTAGACCAGTTGCTATTCATAGAACTCGGTCTGTCCTGCTATTTACCCATAGATGAGGAGAGAAGAAAAGGATTCATACCTTTCCCAAGGATATTACCAGGTAAGTGACTGTAATGGATTCGACTGGAATTCGAACTCGGCTCTCCGATTCGGAACCGCTATCCATTACTTCACCGTACCACCGATGAACTAAAGAGGAACTTTTTAGTATGTATGCAACGGGTCATAATATTTTCTTTTTGTCTGGAAATCTTATTATAAATAACTTTTCTTGTAGACAAAGCTTGCAGATATTACTAGGGTTGTTGTGAGGTTTAGCTTGTTTTTTTAATGTTCCTGTTTACAATCGGATCTTTGTTATTTTTTCCTTTAATTTCCACATATGGTTTACTAGTCTGGTAGAATACCTAAGACTTTCTAGCTTGAAAGATGACTTGTGATCACACCACCTCGTCTTGAAGCTACCTTCAGTACACCCTGTGTATATTTTTTTCTTGTCATTTGTATCTACTACTTTGTAAATTACTGCTTCAGTTTTGCAAACTCCATCTAATGGACATCTACTTTTATTTCTACAGTTACATATTTCACTGTTAACGATGTTTTGTTGCACGTCAGTTTTGAAATTTCTGGAGTTTTGTCTTTTTTTATTGTGGTTTCTAAATTACTAGTACAGCTGTAGCTTAATTTAACTGTGTTTTTATTAAATGTTTTATGTAATTCGGAATTTTGGGGGACGTGTGTAGTAATTAATTTTGTTTAGTAAGTAACTATTAACTACTGAAGGAAAAAATGAAAAAGAACTAAAAACATTCTAGTTAAAGGAGGCAAAGCAAAGAAAATTTACCGGTGGCTTACTGGAATAAATAAATGAAGACGTCTTTAAAACTTACAAAAAAGCACCAAACTCGTACATTGAACGCACCAGGAGGTAAAAAATATGATTACAATGAAACAATATCGAGTAATCATACTGTATGAGTACAAACTGGGAAAAAGAACGAACCATTTTTGCATCGAATCATTGCATGCGATGAAAAATGTTTACTCTTTGACAACAGTAAGAGAGTAGGACAATGATTAGATGTAAGTGAATGACCAAAACAATACCCCAAATCACCGCTGTAGCCTAAAAAGTTAATGCTTACTGTATGGTGATCTTTCAAAGGGGTTATTCATTATTCTTTCATACCTACGTTTGACGTGCCACTCGAATTTCATTGGTTATCCAATTCATCGGGCACAAGATATCGCTTATTATTTATTTTGTATATCTATATATATATATATATATATATATATATATATATATATATATATATATACTCGACACTCTCCCGTCGAATTTGATGTATGAGGGTCAAGCAGATCAGTTCCCAGGAAACCGACAGCCCGACAGCAGCACATGAGAGTTGATTATATTGGTGAAAGTTTCGTGCAGGGCCAGCCACACTTTTGGAAGGGCCGAATACAGAAACCTGGTGCACTAAGTGCCACAAGGTCTCCAAACGACCCCCCGAAGGTTTTGAATTCGGAGTTGTCCTTCTCCTGGACCAGTTGCATCCAAGGCTATAGAACTCAGTCTGTCCTGCTATTTACCCATAGCTGGAGGGAGAAGAAGAGGATTCACACAGAAGAGGAGGCACGGTGGAGTAATGGATAGCAGCTTGGATTGAGGAATCGCAGAGCCGAGTTCGAATTCCAGTCGAATCCATTGCATTCACTTACGTGCTAATACCCTTGAGAAAGGTGTGAATATATATATATATATATATATATATATATATATATATATATATATATATATATATTAATAAAGGAAAAAAGCTTTTTCTTTACTGACGCGTTTGGTACACTGATGTACTTTATCAAGTCAAATATAAATATTTTATTTCCCAACAAACACAACCAAAGCTGAATTGGGCAAAATAAACCAAGAAATACTGAAAAAATGTGCGACTTACTAAGGATCGCTACACAAGCCAATTAATGGAAGGTTTATCAAAAATAAAGATAAATATGTATTTAGAAAATACGACATAAAAAAACACTTTTATACACTATATCTAAATAAGGGTCTACTTGAGTTTTTGTACTTCGCCAAAGTCTTCGTAAATATAACACCGTTACAAATGGACATAATTTTGCATTGCCGTAAATCAATTTTATTCCATAATGGAGAAGCTTGAATTAAAAAATCAATAAAGGACGACTTCGATGTACCACAAGGTTCCTTTGATGGTACTATGTTGCAGAATTAATAGGTTTACATATTTTATATGAAATCAACAAAATTGTTCACATAAAGAATCACGGCCTATACAGGGATGACGGACTGATGACAGTGTCAGACAACAGAAGAATAAATGACGATATAAGAAAAGTGCTTTTCAAACTCTTTAAAAGCCTCGACTTTGAAATAGAAGTCGATATGAATTAGAAAATTGTCAAATATTTGGATGTAGAATTAAGTCTACAAACTGGCAGTGTTTCCCAATACATGAAACCCAACACAAAATTAAAATACATGAATGTTAGATTCAACCACCCTTCAAGTATAATAAAGCACATCTCTAAAGGAATAGAGTCCAGGTTATCTAGAAATTCCTCTAGTAAAATAATTTTCGAAGATAAAAAGAAAGAATATGAAAGGACTTTAAAAGAAAAGGGACATAAAACCTAACTGGAATTTAAACCTCAAATAAAACAACAAATGAAGAACAATTCGAGGAAAAGAAAAAATAGTATTTAACTTAAATGTAAAATTGGGAAAAATAAACCAAGAAATACTGAAAAAATGTGCGACTTACTAAGGAGCTCTACACAAGCCAATTAATGGAAGGTTTATCAAAAATAAAGATAAATATGTATTTAGAAAATACGACGTAAAAAACATTTTTATACACTATATCTAAAAAAAGGGTCTACTTGAGGTTTTGTACTAATATAACACCTTAACATGTATATATGTACTAGTAATTTTTTAATTGCCCGAAATATTTCAAGAAAGCAGTGCAATTTTGGTATTTCGATGATGGTGAAAAACGAAATTTCCAAGGATTTTCAGTGAAACTAAAATGAAATTTAAAATCGTTACCGGAATGGTATATACCGTATATTAATAAGTTTCGTATTGCAATGGGAACATTTGACTTCGCAGAGGCATTGATTTAGTTGAAATATTATTATTGCGCAGTCTTATATATACTTTCGATATTAAAGATATCGGACTCTATGGAGATGATGATGTAATTCTTCTCCGTAAAACGATCTCACATAATAATGTAGACCGATCGAGAAAAGAGGTGATAAAATCTTTTAAAGATCACGAGTTAAACATTACCACTATCACCAATGGTAAAGTGATCAGCTTTCTCGATGTGACCTTAGACTTGAGTAATGGTTATTGCAAACCATATACCCAAGAACTATATAACCACAGATACATCAGTAAAGAATGAAGCCACCACAACAGATGTTTGAGTGGATGCTGTAAAGACCTCGAGCAGACCCAGAGGGAAACTTAACGTCTCATACCCGCTTGATTTCAGAGAATATGCTTTCAACACGACGTGGCATACATCTGTTAACACACTAAGCATACAGGAATTTTTATTGTTTACCAACAACGTTATAAGTAGAAATACAGGATTTTATCTACAGCCATATATATATATATATATGCATGTATCTATCTATCTATCTATCTATATATCTATATGTATATGTATGTATATATATATATATATATGAAAGGAGAAAGACATAGATATTCTATGTATTAATCCGACAGACATTTTTATATTGTTATTGGATACTCGTATTTGAATAGACGTTCGGTTTATCTATTAAACAGTATATACAGTTTAATAAATAAATAGAGCGTCTACTGAAATACAAGTGACTGTGAAACATAATGCTTAATTGATATATATGTATATATACATGCATATATATTTATATATATATATATATATGTC